GTACAGTACTTTAGGGCATGTTGGAAACAATTCCAAATTATTTTCATATCCAGTTTTAATATATTCCAGAATTTTGAGTTCTTGTGTATAACCTGAGGCAGTGACCCAGTCCATAGGGTGGCTGCTGGAGACCCTGAGTGCAGCAGAACATGTCTGGCAGACAGTGTTCCAGACATCTGGGAGACCATGAAGCAGGACTTCAAACTATTTCCCTACAATCATGAACACAGGGAGTCCGTGAGAAATACTGCCCCATTAGCAAGGCTAGAGTGCATCCTGTGATGTGCAGCAGAAAAGATGCACATTGTTCTTTGTGACTCCTGTACTAGAGCAGGTGACAGAATGGCACTGCAAGCTGGAATCTGGCTCCTGTCCATCTTCAATTTCAGCAGCATTACCATCATTTTAGAGGAATTGGAAAGTTAGGCTTTGAAGCAGCTGCAGCATCTAAGATCTACAAGGGAAGCTTGGCCACAGTTAATCTGTACTGAGTCTGTGAGACTGACTTAGGCTTTGAAAATTAACTGGAATAACTTTGATACAAAGAAAATAGCTAAAAGTTGCCATTCAAGATGTTAGTCTATTTCTTAAAATATTTATAACCTCCAAATCACTGTTGGGCACTGCTTGACAGAACCCTGGGCTTTGACTTATTTGGTCTATGATAAACATCTTTAATACAAAACTACGTTTTTGTTTGTTATTAATCTCACTGTGCCAAACGAGAGCAGCGAGAGCTTTGCTTTGCAATTTCCTGGCTCCTGAAGATACCCTTCCTGCTTTTCAGGTTCATGTTATTAATATGGAGTCCTTATAGCTGAAAGAAACGCAAACAGAAATTTCCTCTTGTCCTTCAATACTAGAATAAACTTTATATTCTTTATAATATTATGGAAATATTTGCTCTAACCAGCTATTTAGAGGCAATGACGTTTGAATGATAAAGCACTGTTTTCAAGGAATGCTGCTCACATCATATCCTATGACAAATTCATCATGCATGACCATGAAAACTAGTGAGGGAGTTGTAACTATGTGGTGGGTCACACCCAATGTAATGAATTTAACTGTTAGAGATTGTTTTCTTTTTAAAGAAGGTTGTTCACTTGGCTTCATCCCTCTTTTTACATTATTCTTTTTCCTCAATTAAAACAAATCTAGGAAAGTCTGCCAAACTAAATAATTCAGAGTGTCTTAAACAACTAACCAAATAACATTTTAAAGGGTTTTTTTCCCCCAGAATAGCTCAGTTATCTTTGATTTAATTTTGTATACTTCACAGCTTGCCTAGAATTAACAGTGCAGTAACAAAAGTGTATTGAAAAAGGGAGTCTGGTCTCCTGTAGCATAGGACAGTGACTGTTCATGGCTGGACAGCCATGTGCTCTGTTCAAGCACAGAATGGCCCACTACCTGTGGGTGCTGGAATGCTGGATTTGGACCAATTGCTGATTTTATTGTTTGTGTACAAGAGAAATCATTCCTCCTGAGCAAAATGTGGTTGCTTCTCCCTTGTGCAATGCTTGGGGCCCCATACTGAGCACAACTGGAGTTTTTTCCTCTGAACAGAGAATTACTACACTGCTTCCTCAGCTTGAATATGGCCCTCAAAGCAACATGAGATCCTTTAAAATGTACCTCAAAGAACAGTTCTAGAGGTACTTGTCCATTTTTAAAGCAGCTAATTCAAAATTATGGAATTAGAGGGTTGAGTCACCTGAATATGGGGGCTCTAACCTATCAAGACTAAATTAATCATTAATTTTAATAATTATGAGTAACCAATAGCTTTTAAACTATTCCATAGTGCTGTTTAGGCTCAAATCATAGTTCTAACTTTAGGCACACATATCCTGTATTTAAAACAGATGGGCTCAAATTGCATGTCAGAAATCACAAAAATAAGAAATGCAGCATTAAGGGTTACCAGTGAAAAAGCTAGGTATAAGTCATTTACCATTGCATTTCAAAAACATGCTATGACAAAGACATGAATAAATCATATTGCTCCAGGGAGTAAGTTAAGTGCTTTAAATCTCATTTCTCTTCCTTTAACTCCTACTTTCCAGTTGCTGAAACAAATGAAATAAGAGTTCTTGGAAAACAGATCCTTTTAGTAAACAACAAGATGCTTATTGCATGGTCTTCATGCCCAGATGATCATATTTGTTAATTTTATTATAAGCACACAAGAGCTCTACTAACAGAAAATTGTGTCAGACACTAAGCAAAGAGGGAAAACCACAATCCATATAACAGATAACAATTTAAGACAAGAAACAGCAGACTACAGTACCAGGGGAGTTCAAGGAAACTGCCCAGGTCAGCAAGATTAACCCTTACTTCAGCTCACCAGCAGCTCAGCTGTTGTTGGTGGGCACCACTGCAAAGGACATTTGAGGAAAGATTTGAATACTAAGTTATTCCAGTGTTTGCATGTTTCTTTGAATTTCTTTGTGTTGTGCATGAATTAACACCTCAGGTTAGTACTGTGACTGAACAGAAGTTCACTCTCTAGCAGCATCAACAAGACCAGCATATAGCTGCTATTTGGCTATGTCTGCCTGTCTACAACTATTTCTGGAGGTACAGTCTATAAAAAAATTCTGTTTCATAACTTGGTGAAATAGAAGTCTCATTTATATCAGCACCCTTTAAACAGTAAAAAAAAGCCTGCAAGAAATAACTCACGTTGCATTCCTACCATAATGCCACTGCTTAGCCTGGAAGGTGAAAACCCTGAATTTACTCATATTCTATTTACATAACTTTGCATGACTAGAAAGAACACAGGAGGAAGATTGAGATGGTATGAAAAACCTTACAGTCTAGGCATTCATGTTGTCATGTGTACATCACCACCTTGAATGGCCACTCATGGAAGAAATGGCTGCTCCTCCTTGGCTTGGTCAGGCTCAATACACACCTGGTTCCTGGGGTGGACAATGCCAGCCAGCTGCAGGGCTCAGCAGCTGCCTTCCTTGACTATGGGAAACGTCAGATGACCTTAATAACAGGGTTTGCCACCTGTCTCCCTCTAATTATGTCATTAATATTATAAGCATCCTAAAGCTGAGGATGAAAGTGTGGACTGAGGCTGGAATTTATCTAGGATCCTATTAATCTGCATATATGTGAATTTTTTTTTATCTGAAAGATGTTTGCCTTCATTAAGGCTGAAATTATTAGATATGTTGTGTTGCCTGAAATGTATGCCAGTGAAAGGAGTAGATTTTAGCTTTGTGGCAGAGCCATCACAGCTGCAGTTTCCAGTATCGATTTTCCATAAAAATATACCAAGGGTCACAACATGCCATCCTACAAAAGAACCTACCTACAGCAACTATGAAAAATTAATTCAGTGGTGAATTTATCCTATTTTTCCCACTGAATTTTGGTCTTACTGTTTCGTGAGGGGAATGAGGTTACCCCTCTGCAAGGAAGGTTTTGAAGAACTGTCCCAGACTCAGTCCCCAGGAATGCATGCAGAGCCCAAAAAGCCACCGTGGTCCAAGATCAGCCACATGGAGCCCACATGCTCCTGTCAGAGCTGACGCTTGCTCGAGGCAGGTCTATCGGAGCCATAAAATCAGGAACTCCCTCTGCTTCTGACCATGCCATATCTGATCCCTTCCTTCCTGAATATAAATAGTTTCATTCTCAAGAACAGCCAGTGAGATATTCATCATAATTTCACGTTGCTATTTTTAAAAAATAGATACGCAGCTTTGTCATGCACAACTTCCAACAGGAAATCTTTTCAGTTTGTGGGAACGTAACTCTTACTGACCAGTAGATTATTCATGTCCTATTTTTCATGTTTTATTATGGTTATCCAATTTGAAATTACCAATTTTATAATTATGAAGTACTGAAGCATTTTGGTTATAGTCTTGTTATTTCATTGATTATTAGTAACTGACTAGTGAATTTAAAGGATGTTTCAACTGGTAATGCTAATTTTTAGTCTGTGGACAGGCTTGTTTCTGTTAATATTTAATAGCTTTTATGAGGGAAGAATTCTGTCAGAACAATTGAGTTTATTCGCCTTTTAAATTTTGTTATACCAATGGTACCTATTAGTTGATTCATGAACATTATACTTTCAATTACTGGCTTTTCCTGAATATAAATAGATACAGAGTTGCATTCTTCGGATTCTGCAAATTTATTTTGTCAAACTTCACAGAGAATTAAGCGTAGTTTTGTTAAAATATGCAGTGTGTCATTCTTTTGAGTAAGAAGCATATCAAATCTGCAGCTTTCTTCCAGCTTACATCCTTCAAAAATAAACATGATTGCTTAACAATAAGTTACAAATAAGAAAATACACATTCCTGCTCACCCACATGTTCCTGGTGCATGTCCTAGACAAGTGTAATATACACAAGAAATAAAACCTAGAATCATTGTGAAGTTTTCAAAGCCATTCCCTGACAAATTTAGGAAAGGAACTTAATGAATGGGAATACTTGGCTTTTCATAGTTAATTTCATATTTTTTACTTTATCCTTTGCTGATGTCAGATATGATGATGTCACATTAGCTGCTGGTGGTAGTGATTGATACAATACAGAAAAAGCTGTGTTCTGAAAGGCTGAAAAAGATCTTTTCTAATCTAAACAATACCTACAATTCTATGAAGAAAAGCTGAAGCAGTAGGAAAGAAAAACATTTTTCCTTCTATGCAAACAATTGCAGTAGAGTGTGCTGATATAATTTTTGTGTGAGTCTTGACTCAGATGCTTGTATATTGCTTTCATTCTAACAGTACACACATAATTCCAGTCAAAACACATTTTTCTAATTTAATTGCAGATTTACTGTAGTATTACAGAATTGTGTACTTGTAAAAACACACATGTGGTGTCTGTATTGTGTGAAGTCTGTGTTATTACAGGTTTCCACATTGAAAATCGGTTTTGTTAACAAAAAATGAGTACACAAAATGTTATGCAGAAGCCAAGCTATTTACAAATACAATCACTCAAGCTTTTAAGTAAAGCATAACATCTCTTTAATATATAGTCCAGAAGCCATTCTATCCTGAAGTTATATTTACCAAGCTGTCTTCAGCAGCCAATTATTTCCCTTTGCTTTGGCTAGGCAAGGAAAGATGTATTCCAAACATATGAAACAGTGTTTTATATGCTTTCTGTATGATGTTTATAGAAATCTTAGTAGTTAATAAAAATTACAAAGAATAATAAAATTAATTCATTATTCATACTCAAAGTTTAGTTAAGCATTTTATTTCTAACTCTTTTGGGGACTGTACAGATGAGTCATATGTAACAACTTTTCTAAGAAGATACATACTTAGTTGAGCATTTCCTTCTAAATAGTTGACAGTAGCATCTTCTAAGAATTTAGAGAGGCATTTCTTGGAGATGCAGGGATAGAGAAAAAGGAGAAAAGAGGCAGTATCTGAACAACAAGCCTTACACATTTGCAATGTAGACTCTTTTGTGCTTCTCGATTGCTGCTATGTCATGCTCCAGTTGTTTCAGCTTTAATTCCAGCTCTTCTTTATGCATCCTCTTGTACATGGTGTCTGCTAGTATTGGAAGACGTTGATATGCATTATTTATTTCCTCCCAGTTCTTTTTCAGTGCCTGGTACCATTACATGAAAAGGAAATATATGAGAAAAACTTAAAGTAAGAACAATATGTACATAAACTACTTGATTTTTTAATTTATATGACATTTGCCAAGTGTCACTGATAGATAAGTATATGAATAATGTGTAATCATCTTAATTGAACCTTAATTAAATCTTTGAGAGTTACAATACTTGGAACTCCAGCCAAAATTCAACAAAATTTCAGGCCATCTCACCACCAGCTTAATTTTCTGTAATTGAGACTTTGTTCAGACCACAGTCACCAAACTGATTCCACAGCACTTTGACTTCCATAAACTACTTTGAAAAAACTCTGAATAATTGCATTGTCCTTCTAATCCACATTGACAGTAACAACTATGGGCAATTTATTCATTAATTGGACTAAAAACCCTAACTGTCACTGACCCTATCAACAGTAATTTCAGCAACTACTACCTCTCTTGAATGTTGCTGTGCAAAGAATTACCTTTCTAGATAAAGTGAACATATATAAAACCTTGAGATTAAAATTTTGCCTAAAAAAATTTTAAATGCTATAATCCAAAACTTATTCATAAACCTGTTAAGCTGACACCAAAGACAATACTTTTATCCACCAATATAAACTAAAAGGAACCAGACAGTGGTAGAAAAATAAAATTTAAATCTTGCCTTTGTAACCTTCTTACAATTACTGCAATTATTGCTCTTACTTTCTCTCCTCAAAATTATAATCAAAATCTATACATTCTACCCACATGTAAGTGAAGATTTAGTAGAGTTTATCCAGTGCATCAAATGTCCCCTGAAAACTATATGGGTGAACTTAAAAATAACAACTAACAAGGAACTGAGACGGCAATCAGTAAATAACACGCCTATCAGTGAGAAAACAGTTCTCCAAAATGTTTATGGCTCTCAATTCTGTCACCTTAGAGGATATCACAAAGTATCTCTAAAAATAAAGAAGTTAAGTTACCCTCTTTTGAACCAAAATTTTCAGCTCTTCTCCATAACTAAAACTGGATTCAAATGGCACCCTGATTTTATGGCACACTGTGATTTCCAACTTCAGGTCCTCCATTATTAAACATTTTTCTCACAGTCTAGATTACTGATGAACATACTGAAGTTAAATTTAGAGGGTTTATTTTTGTACATATTTATCTTTGAAGACTGTTGTTTCTATTTCAGAACTCAAGGGCTCTTGTGCTTAAAAACTTGACTTTTGTTAACTGTATAAATTGATTTACAGAAAAAAAATGAACTCTCCTGCCAACACTAAGAAAAATGTAATCTTTAACATGAACTAATATTTTAACAATTCAAACCAGTGTAGTTATTGCATAGCAATTCATGCTTTTTGCATATTCATATTAAGCATCTAAGTGTTGTTCGTAAAGGTTATTCCAACAATCTTCATATACAAATATCTACATCAGCTTAGAAACCTTACTGCTAAATGTGAAACTCAGAGCAACAAGGATATTTATCTACTGTCTTGTAATCTTGTTATCTACTTGTCTTTGCTATCCGAAGTTGTAAAGTACTTTCATAAGATTCATAGTCTACCAGGCATTAAGTACAGCTTACAAATATATAGGCATAAAAATAAATCTCATCTTTTCAAAAACTTTCATAGAAGAGTCATTCATAGATTCTTGAAATAATTCTTATTTGTGTAGATTAGTAAGAACTGGCTTGGAAATAATTGAAAACAGAGAATTTTAAAGCATTAGAGCATACATTCATCAAATTTGCTCTATTCCTACAAAGTGGAGAGATCAAAAACAGATCATGACTCTATAAAAATCGCCTTCACACTTCCTCCAACATTGTAATATGCTGACCACTATTCCTACAGCTAGATCACAAACTGAATATCCAGCTCTATATATGGAATTCTAACACATGCTGGATCAGTGAGAAATATGTACTGCATTTATCAACATTCTCTTTTACTCTCATAAAATCCCAACCAAAGTAAGCACAATGAAGAGTTAAAAAAAATGCTGACACAAATTACTTCTCTTTATTTTTCTAAGGTCATGATTTTAGTCTCAGGCATTTATTGCCATGTACTCTTTCAAATCAGATAGTGCACATGTGTTCATTAGCTATGTCAATTATTTTAAAGGACAGAAATTCCCATATGCCTACAGCTGAGCACTGGGTAGAAGCCACATACCCTGGGGACACTAAATCCTCCTGACAATATAACTGTATAAGTGACCCCATGGAAGTGCAAATGTTTTTGAAAAAAAATTAAATACTGAGTTACTAAAAACAATCTAAAAACTGGAAAAATTAAAAAAATATTCCAGTGCATTCCTGTATTTGAAAAATACAGAACATCATTTTAATCAAACTAAATGCAGAACGGTGAGCAGCTGAACTCACATGCCTTTTTTGCACAAAACTTTTTGTTATATAGTTAACTTATTGGACCATCAGCTTGTCCCATGCCTTTCCTACTATAAAAATGTCTCCATCTTCTTCAAAACAGCATGTGGTTTTGTTCCTTATACTGCTGTCAGTGCAATACCCTCACCTCTTTCCCATACTCCTTCCTAGCTTATACTGCTTGTTGTATATGCAAAAACCATTGTGCTGGACATTTCAGACCTTGCCAATTAATCAGTTCATCTTTCAGGCAAGTGAGTTAGACACTGTTTTCTCTCTAGATATTTTTTTTTGTGGGCATTCAGCATCTTTGAGCTGTCCATCTATCTATTAATTTGTTTCAGGTGGATGCCAAGAGCAGGTTATTAAGGGACAGACTGATATATAGATATCACAGTCATATAAGCTTCATTTTCATAGGAAATTTGTCTATATTTTTCTCAAGAAAAATTCCAGTTCTAGGGATTTACTTTTAAGGATATACTTTTAAGATATCTCTTTCATGCTCTGCTTCTTTTATGGTAGTAAATGGTAGTAATTCTCTTTAGAAAGTCTTGTGCAATAAAAACTGTAGGAAAGACAGTATCTAGAATATCTTAACAAAATCCAAAATTTTCAGTCATAATTCTATGACTATATTGCAATTTAATTCTGTTTTCTTTTTTTGCCACTTCTTAAAGAAAGCCATTATACTTTAATCAGCGAAGTCACAATGTGAGGATAGAAACTGCCAAGAAAAGGAGCAATATTGTGCATTAGGAAAAAAATTGTATTTCTCCATTAATAAATGTCACTAAATCCATATTGGTGATTTTCTGCTCTTTGAAGTTTCACTGAAATTCCAAGTCATTAAGGTGGATAAGAACCAAACAGAATGGAAAAAAATTAAAACTGTAACTAGATCAGTCCCTTTCAGTTGTATACAACTGTTCTACAGCTCCATCTAGTGAAAAAGTAGCCAACTAATTTGTTTCACTTAAAAAACAAAAACTGGACTTTTATTATTTATGTGAACTTACGCTACCTTATTTAATCTTTTGGACATGTTACTAATTACACTAAATCAAATATGCACCTTTAAAATATTTGTCCTTTCTTCCTCAGATAGAGTTTTCATGGCTTTCATCTTGAGTTGCTCCAAAACACTAGCCTGGTATTCTTCCGCTTCTCTCTTCATTTCTTCATTTCTCCGTGTCACATATTTTGGTATAACACCGTAATTCTATAAGAAGAAGGAAGAAGTTCCTTATATGTGCTTTTAAGAAGGAAACAAACAGATACCTGTCATCCATCCATTTGCAAAAGTAGTTTGAAATGACAATTTGTGCTACTCAGTAGCACTGATTGTGCTATTAAAATCCTAAATCACCATGTTCTTTAAAGACATGATTACCTTTGTAGTCTGAGAAAAATATATAAACAGCTCCCTTCCATTTCTTTTCACAACCTTAGAAGATAACAGAATCCAGAAACCAAAATGTCTATTTACAAGAACTGATGGTTGAGCAAGGAGTTTGAAACCTGTTCATGACATTGAGCTATTTTACATTTTTATATGGTGTCAGCTTCTATGATTGGAAACATTCCTTAGCGAATTTCTTTGGAAGTTCTGCCTGTATCCTGAATTTTTCTGAGCATTGCAACATACAAGAATACACACATGAAAATTGGACTAATTAAGAAGGATAAACTATCCCATACTGATCTGTTTCTGTGAGGAAAAAAATAACTTCTGAATATGCCAGAAATTCTTGGGGAAATACACCTATTTTGTCTTAAACTTTGTAAAATGAAGCTCCTCTAGCCAAAAGATATCAGAGTCTACCTTTTTTCTTCTAAATGCAAAATTATTCACTAATCTTTTATTGTCAGGTAGCACCATGACTAGCATTGTTCATATACATGTTTATCCATGGAAAAGCACTGCAAGGTTCTTTTTGGCATCTTCTCTGTCATGAGTTCTGTCTTATGTCATCTCTTAATGCTGTCTCATGGGTTACATGTTCAGATAAACCAGACTATTGATAGATCTTATTTTCCTGGGTAGAGGATGGACTGCTGTGGTGAACAGAGGAGGTTGTCCTTAAAAGCATGTCAGCTCTCCCAAGCTCTTTGCCTTCCAGAGCTGTCACAGGTAGGGGCCTACTTACCAGTTACCCTCAATAAGCTGCTGTTTGCTTTCCTGAGCAGTCAGTATGCTACCACTGGCTCCCTGAATAGGAGGGGGTCTGGAACAGCTACAAGGTCTATGCCACCCAGACTACAACTGATTATCACACCCCTGAGAAATTCTTCCTCCTTTTAAAATAGCAGAACCAGAAGAACATGACCATTGGTTGGCTCATCCACCATCTGTGAAGAAGGCTGTTGCTGACAGGCTTCAGGAAACTTTTTGGAATGCTTTCATCCTATTGTGTTATCCTTTCAGTGGCTATCAAAGAAAGTGAACTCTTCCATAAGAAGCTGCATCATGATCTGAATATTTTCTCAAGTTGCTTAAAGAGATTTTCATCCAGTTCCTCACCTTATTGGGTGCTCCATAACAAACACACTTCTGACAGTCGCTGCCTTTCCTCTGATCTTGACTCACAACCTCAACCACCCTGTTGCCAGTTTCATCGAAAAACTCCATATATTTGAACGGTTCTTTCATTCAAAGGGCAACCCTCCTTCTCTTCTTCCCTGCCTGTCTTTTCTAAGCAGCAAACATTGATTCATCACAGAATTCCATGTCTCCCCATTAGACACTCCCTGGGTTCCCAATGCAGGATACATGCCATTGCTTTAGGACAATCATTCTGCAAATTTTTCTGGCTGACAGCATAAACAAATGAAAACAGAGAAAAGGCAAGGCATAAGTCTAGAGCCAGTGATTTCTTCTTGATGAATTCAAGAGATCTAATATGAACAGCCATGGTATCTATGCAATAGTGAACTTAAAATAGGCATTATGAATAGCATTTCCAATATAATTTAATAAAACGTACCTTTTTTTTAATGTATTTTGGAAAAAGTCCTGAAGGTTCAAGGAGATATTTATCTCCCTGTCTTGTATCAACACAAAAATGCCGAGGCTTTTTAGGCTCCCCCTTGATAACAGCAACTGCATTTTTATTTATAAAATTCTTTTTAATGCGAATAACGGGGTGGTATGTCCTGGGTGGCACTGGTGGAAGCAATTTTTTAGAATCCCGTTCTTTTTTTTCTGTGAATAGAGCACATAAACATTCTCAGCAATAAATTTGAAGAGATTTTCAATTTAATATTATAACACTTTTCAAAAGGGAAAAACTGTACAGAATTACATAAAAATAGAAACCTATTATCTTACATTATATACATTTATTATATTCTAGTAAGAATTTATTAGAAAAATAAACACCATCTACAATGAAAGAACTGCCTGTAAATGAACTGTGATGCATGTTTGGCCTAGCAGAAGTTTCATAACCTAGGAAATACCATGTTGTTTCAGATGGGTTTTCCTTATATGTCACTCATTTCCTCTTAGCTGCAGTAATACAGGACTTTTGTCAAATGTAATTATAATTACTTTTAGTAGAGGTGCTCATTGTCAGAGCCCTTGGGTAATAATGGTCTTGTCCAATCTCACCAGGGGCACCCACCCCGCCCCCTCGGGCTCAGGAACCCCATTTCACTTGTCAATGCCTGGATGAGCTGTCTCAGGTAGGTGGATTCCACATAGGAGCTATGTGGATTCAGTGGAGGGATCTGGCCTGTAACCTGATTTTGCCTGATGGTCAGTGGAGCACTGACAGAACAGACTTTTCTCACCACCCCACTCTGCTGGCCTGCCTGACATGGTGGGACTGCACTCTCTTGGTGAGGTCTTTGCCTGACCTGCATTGTGGTTTCCCTCAATGTTTGACTCATCTCTCCTTAGGGAAGAGCCCGTCTCTTGCTGCTCCCTAATCCTTGTAAACAACTTCAAATAATCCTTTTTCCAGAGAATATAGAAACTCTTCCATTTTAGTGTAATCTTTTCTCCAAGGCACCAACAGAAATAAGTAGCATCCTGAGTAGTCTCACAGTGAGTGATTAGTAATTATTTCCCATCATATTTCCCACTAGACATAACTCTAATTCATGATCATTACCAGAAATAATGATTGATCCAAGTGAGTACATGTTCTTCTTTGGCAGTAAATAAGTGTAATGTCACAAGTGACAAAGCTCATTCCTACAACAGCTGATTTTCTGATACTTAAGGCATAAACCAGTATTTTTGTTTTTACAACTAATAGCTGGCCATAACTTAGTACTGTAGGACACAAAGACTTAACTCTACCGTAAAAAATACATTTCAATGTATATATTCTCTGTCTACACTTACTTGGTGCTATCTTGGGTTCCTTGGAACGTTTCTGCAGAAAATCATTTGGAGACGGCACTGCAACTTTTGCTGGCCCCATAGTTTTCCACTGAGATTTATTTTTCTCTGCTTCATGTTTCACCAATTCTCTGAGTTTGGCAATATACCTTAGAGGTTAGAAAATAGCCAAAAAGAAGTTAAGGGTCAGAAAAATATTCAAAATAGTTCTTCAACTTTTTTGCAGTAGCTCATGGTAAAAGCTTAATCTGTTTTGTTTTGTACTCTCTCCCAAATAAAGACTATCATTCACACAGCCTCCATGCAAGGGCTAAACCTAGTAGTGCACTGACAAATGAGTTTTCTGGTTCTGAAGTTAGCTTCCTTCTTCCTTCTGCTCTTGAGTCTCTGAGGTCAGGATTATCACACTTGGGGAAATAAATACCAAATATAAATGCTGAACACAGACATTCTGAAATCCATCAAAACCTAAATTTTGGAAATAAACTTGAGTATTGCTTGCATTAATTTCTTATGGTACGTGGTGTGATTCTTGGAGTGTCCTGTGCAGGCCCAGGACTCAATTGACTCAATGATCCTGATGGCTCCCTTCCAACTCAGCATTATCTGTGATTCTATGATTTATGCTCAAGAAAAGACGTCAAATGTAGTCGAGAATTGTACAGGATGTCCTTGATCATCAGTTTTTCTTATTACTGTCCATTGTATCACTGTCTCAATGTTCCAGCTGAACCATCTGTTACAGACTCTTATGAGAGATGAGATGGGTGACTGCTCTGAAATAGCACAGCACACTATTACACAGATAGGAGTTGAGATCCTGAACAGTAATCAGTGGTCTGGCACTGAAACAGCTGATGTGAAAATCAGTAAGGGCTCAGACATGAAAAGCTGTATGAACATGGTATGCACACACTGCTGTTTTGGTCTAATGTTGCATATGGCATGATAACTTCTGCTTTAATCAGCCGAACGCTGATCATTAGCTGATTGGCAACATCTTGACTCTATCTGAAGGATTGAGCTGTCACAGATGTTTGCCTGAGAAAGCAGAACTCCCTGTTCCCTCCCTGTACTTCTATAATCTGTCCATCTTCAGGAAATATATTAATTTATGGTAGACAAAAGCTTATGAAAAACTGTGCTTATTTTACAGAAAAAATGTGTTTATGAAAGAAACTATGCCATGTTTTCAAGTAAGGATAAAAAAGAAGAGCAAAAAAGATTATATCTAGTGCAACCGACTCTATGGAAATACTGAAATAGGAAGAAAGAAACCATGTAATCCTGGGTCACTGAACATGTATCACAGTAGCAATACTGATAAAAGCTCTTGTCCATGAGCTGCAAATGTTCAATAAATGTATTTGTACCTGATCATAACATTACAACATGTCAGAGGATTTCATTAAAATTATGGACTTATTTTGTCTTTTGGAGATTTGGTCTCCAAAATCAGAGAGAGGATTATCTGCACAAAATTATATATACTTCCTGAAATACTTCTAAGGAATGAGGTTTTATTTTTTTTTTTTCTGTTAAATTCGTAGCAAACAGCTATAGACATTGCACAAAGCCACCAAACTGATAAATAATAGTATTCCTCACCATTTTCTAGAAGTGGCATCATGAGCACACAGGAGAGAAAGGCACTGGCTTTATGCAAATTTTGACCTAGAGGGGTTCATAGTCTTGGAAAGAGAAAATGAATGAGAAGACATTGAGAAGACATACTGGCATGAGGTAAAGACATCATTTGTAGACAGCTATAGACATTCCTTAGAACAAAGAGATGAGGCATCTGTTATCTTTTCAGTGACTTTCCAGACCAAGAAAGCAGCTCAATATCACAGGGTTAGAGAGGGTTGCAAGGGAGAAAACATAAGTTATGGGGAACATCAGGATCTAATCTGTTCATCATTTAGCAAGGGAAAAAAGACAATACATCTGTAAGAAGACAGAAGAACATGAGAGATGAAGTTGACCTTAGGGGTCAACTTGGGATATCAAAGTTGGGGGAAAATGAGAATGTTTGCTGTGGTTTCATGAGCAGTCAGTTCAGTACCAGTCAGTTGATAATGAAATAATATTTCATTTGGAAAAAAAAAAACATACAACAAAGTAGATTTGGTAGACATTAGTTAAACCTGGTCAAATCACACAGAGTCAATGGTCCTGTTACCAGCTGAATATTTGTCACATTGTGAACCTAAGCTGCAAGTGTGATAACAACAGAAGTCAATGAGATCAGAAGGGGATTTAGTCAGATTATATCTAAGCCAAGAAATCTGTTGCCTAAACTGAACCTAATGGTCATGGAGTACCCAAATCTCTGAGTGGTATTAAGTCAGGAGTAGATTTAATGTGCATGCTTTGCCATATTGTCCTTTCACCTTCCTCTGTCTTCAAAGTATCTCTGTCCAAAACTATATCCATTCACGATGAAAACAAACAAAATTTAAAAATCTACTATTACATGGGAAAGACTCAGAGTTAGGAATCTCACAAGTCTGAATCCATTTACCTGAAACAGGATAACTACCTTTGTTCTAACGAGTGTCACTGATACATCTATTTGTTTCAAAGCTATTGAGTTATGACCTACCCTTTCACTAAAGATGCTAAGTGTAACAGCCTTTTACATAAACAGGGACTTGAAATAAACAGCACGTGTGCATAACTTTCAGCAAAAGGCCTTTTCTTATATTTTTTAAGTCAAGATGTAAGAAAGGGAAGCAAAAGAAATAATGTTAGATGACACACCTGAAACATGGAAAGTATGAAAACTGGAAAGTCCACCTTTTCAGCATTTTCAGCTGCTCACTGAGTTGTTCTAAGTGCAAGCAAAAAAATATGTCATCTAATTCCTGTGCACAGAAGGAGCTTTGCAAATTATGAACAAGATGCCACTGGAGACACCAAATTTAATCATCACCTCTTGGAGTACACTGTAAACCCTCAGATCACAGAATCAATGAGGTTGGAAAAGACCTCTGAATTACCAAGTCCAACATCTTATCAACTAGACCATGGCACTGAGTGCCGCATCCAGTTATTCCCTTAAACACCTCCAGGGACAGAGACTCCACCACCTTCCTGGGCAGCCCACTCCAGTACCTAATCGCTCTGTCTTACGGAGAATCTCTTCCTAATGTCCGATCTAAACCTGCCCTGGTGCAGCTGAGGCCACGTCCTCTTGTCCAGTCGCTTTTTTCCTGCCTAGGAAAAAAGGCCAACCCCCAGCTGGCTGCACTCTCCTGTCACGCAGTTGTAGAGAGTGTTTGGTCACCCCTAAGCCTCCTTTTCTCCCGGCTAAACTCCCTCAGCTCCCTCAGCTGCGCATCACACTTGTGCTCCAGACCCTTCACCAGGTTCGCTGCCCTTCTCTGGACACTCTCCAGCACCTCAGTGTCCTTCCTGACGTCATTGACTCGTTAGGAGGAGGAGCAACTATGCAAAAACTAGTTTGTTTGGGGTTTTTTTAATGTGTGTTACCTGTTAGGTGCATTGCCTTGCCAGAACCAGCCACCCAGCCCACCAATGGTTCCGTCACAACCACATACCCGCCAGGTTTGCCGGGCTGCTCCGGCCGGGGCGGGGGGTCACAGGCACCCTCCTGAGCACTCTGCGTGGCCATGCTCCCGCCGCGGGAGCCGGGGCACGGGCAAGCGCCCGCCTGCTTGTAGAGCTCTGGACGCGGGGTATTCTCCCGCCTCGGGGGCTTGGACAGGGGAAGCGCCACCTCACCGAGGGGCTCGGGGCGCGGCCGGCGGTTGTTGTCAGTTACCGGGGAAACCCGTCAGGGGAATGGCGTCATGAGGGGCGGGGCCTCCGCCGCCACCTGCTCCAGCGCCAGGCGCGGAACGGCCGCGCAGGCGCAGCCGCTGCCGGTACCGTGCGGTGCGGGAGGAGCCGGGGCGTGCCG